GCATAATCCATGGGAACTTGGAAGAAGAGCAGAGGAAAAGCATCATGGAGGACAGGGGCCCGGGACCAGATACAGACCCAAGACTGTGCCTCTAACACTCATCCAGGCACACCCAGAAGTGAGCTTTGTTAATGCAGCAGGTGGCTGCCGAAGCAACGAAGTTGATGAACAAGGTTCACCTACCAAGGCCATCCTGGCAGGGAGATTTGGAAATGTCTTCATCGTGGGTGAGTAGGAGCAGAATAAAACTCCATTTTTATAACACACATGGGCTATTAGTCTACACGTGTCTCTGTGCAAGAAACTTGGACTTTGAGGTCATGCTCTTAAGTGAAAAAAAATCACTCACACATGTGTAAATATCACCTTGTCTCACAAGTGTGAGAAACAGAAAGTGTAAATAAGAACCCAATTGTACAAGAGATATGGTGAAATGGAAAGAAATTGCTCAAAAGAAAAGGGAAAGAAGGGACGGGCTAGGGAGAAAGGAAATGAGAAAAAAAATGAGAAAAGAAGATAAGATGTAAAGAAATTTTGTAAATAAAGGAGGGAAGAGGTGCTGAAAGGAGAGGAGAGGAATGGAAGAAACAAAAAGAAATATCAAGGTATGTTATATACAAGGTCAAATTCCCTATGATGAATGTGATCACTGCATATATCTAAAATGTAACAATAAACTTAATTTTAAGAAAAACCTCAAGGGAGCAGGGAGCTGCCTGACCTGCACCACCGGCTCCCTGGAGAAATGGTGCCTCGCTGTGGCTCAGGAGTGAGCTGCGTCCAGATGCCTGGGGATGGTCCAACCATAGTCTCACCTGAGCAGGTGATGATTCATGGACGAATGTAAACTTTCACACATGATCATAGAGGATTCACACCAGAGGGAAATGAGTTACAACATTGTGATGTCTCACTGAGGACAGAGACATAGCCCTTTTGCTCCTTTTTCTTTTTTGAATGTCACTATTGCTATAGGTATAACGAAATACACTGTTTGGCAATGTCCTTTTAGACATTGCCAGATTTTAAGCATAGTTCCTTGGGTGCTGGAAGCTAGACCATGACAGTCCTTTTTCTGGAGCCAGGTAGATATGATTTTTGTGAGGAAACATTAGTCTGATTGCAGGTGTTTAAGCCTTATACGCCTGGCCTAGAGCAAAATAGTAGATTTGAAACTTTCTCCCAGCTGGATGAGGACCACATTATTCCTTGTGTACAGCACCGGGACCAAGGCCTCACTGTCTTTTCTGTTGGAATAACGGTTATTTTTCAAGTGCATTTTCTTTGTGATCCCTCTCATCAGACTCAGAAATGCTCTCCTTTTCACTGTCTATGACAGAAGAACTGGTTTTAGCCAGTACTTCCCTGATCAGATCATTCTGGTCTGTCCTGAGTGATCTTTGCCTATGGACACGAAATCTGTTGCAGAAACTGACAAAATCATTCCTGGATGAAAGCGGACAATGAATCCATAATAGTACAAGCGAAGAATGCCCAGGACTCCAGGGCACTTCTAGACCCAAGCAGAGCTTTCTCAGCTATCACGTTTGTGCACTTCCGCCCCCTTGTGGCCATGTGTGGAGAAACACCTGTGGTTTTTCTGGTTGCATCGCAGCCATCCCCCTCTTAGTAACAGGTCCTTGTTTCTGACACATTGTCACACGTATTTTTTGTTGTTTGATTAGAATCCACAATCACAAATGGGTTTCAAGATCTGTGGGCTATTGTGGTTACATTAGTTTGTTATATTTGGCTTTCAGTTAAAAATTGATAATTTATGAGTCTGGAATCGAAATCCCCAATGACATTTTCCTGTTTGTTGCCTTCTATTTAGCAGGTTAAAGACAATAGAGCCAATCTGATTATTTTCCAGAGAAATTCACTTATTCTTTGCTTGTACTAACTTTTGATGTCTATTTCCAGTCATTATCTGCATGGTGTGATGAAACTATTATCTGAGGTCACAACTTTAGTTACAAAGATTGGAGCCTGCAGAGAGAGATAGACAATAGGAAGATACTCAGTGACTGCTATGAGCCAAAACAAAAAAGAAAAATGATATCCTTTTGACGAATATTTGTTGCATAACCCTGTGATGCCATCTACCAGGGAATCTTACTTATTGTGAACTTTCTAAACCATTAGACCCACCCTTCATGAGCAATCAGTATGTCCCTTCTTAGATTTGTCTGTGATGGGGTACATGAGCCAGGACACTTGAAGTTTGCATTATGTGATTTCCTCTCTTCCACGACGTCTTTGAATAACACAGTGGTGTGATGTCCATCGAACTCAAATGACTGACAAATGTCAAAGCAAAAAGGTGTCTGCATTACCAGACATAGTCCAGAAACACAAAGAAATGCTTGAATTCACCTAAAATTTTAACCCAGACGTGAATGCATGCACATGTGTGTATGTGTCCCCAATAATAAATCTAGTGAAATAGGTGAACCTATATTTCTATTATTAATGTGTAGGCAGAATGCTACAAATTTTGTTCCTTTATCATTCATTTTAACTTCTCAAGATCCTTATTTGTTGACTACAAAATATTTACATTAAGTCTGTAGGTTTTAGACAAACACTTACGGGAATGGCTAGATGTGGAAATTTTGTGTTGGTCAGTGTTTGCAGAACAACGACTGAGAAACAGCCACTCAGAAGTCAATGAGTGAGAACACTGAACACGTGTTTCATGTTCTTGCATCTTCTGTTCATGGCATGGCATCTTCTGTCCTATGCTGGCAGAGATCATTCTCACATGTGCCACGCAGGCTCCTTATCTCATCTCCAGATTTTGATTGATCAGGGACAAATACTGAAGAGCAACGATTTCTAGGAGTCCCACCTTCTCATGATCAGTTACAAGAGCAAGCAAAATGCCCAAATTTACCCACATGGGCAAATATTGGATCATTCTATTGACAAATATTTGTGGATATTGTCCTTAGGTAGAGGTAGTCACTGTAATGTATTCCAAATTTCATTTTATATTAATAAAATGGAGATAGGAGGTGCTAAGGTTTGGATGTGGTTTATCTAACGGGACTTCTGCCCAGAGGCTGTGCTCTCTCTGCAGGCACTAAAGAGGCAGGGAGCCCTTAAGATCTGGGGCCTGCTGTGAGATGGTGAGGTCATTGCAGGTGCTGCCTCTGGAAGGGACCAGTGCTCATCTTACAGAGTGAGCTGCTCTTAATGAGAGGGTGGTGTGACAAAGTGAAATCGCATTACGTGCTTGGCCTCCCCAGCACGCAGTTGATTTCCTTCCTACCAAGTTCTGACAGGGATGGCTGCATCCTCACCAGAGGACATGCAGATGGGTCTGCACGTTCCTGACTTGGAACTTCCAAAGCTGAGTGAAACAAATCTATTTTCTTTATGATTAACTTTAGTTCAAATATTTTTATTTAACAAAAAAAAGCATAGGTGCATTTTGTAACGTGTAGTTTTAAATAGAAATGTCCTCCAATAGATTCATGGACTGTAAAGAGATTCTCAGTAACTGAAATAAACTTCTAAACATAGCTTCTTAATCCTTCTACAGGTCACATGTTAACATGCTAAAATGCAGATTGTAACTCAGGAGGTCTAATGGGATCATGAAATTTTCATTTGTAAAATTTCACTGATGCAGATGATAAATTTGCATTCTGGACAGACTTGGTGTAGATGGAAAATACTGTTACATCCACATTAGCTTGGTTCCGGTTTCTCTTTTGTCAAGAAAGTTGTGCTTTTCTCAAGTGATTCTTATACATTGCATGTACACTTTCGACTTTGTCTTGACACTGTGCCCTCATGACGCTTGCTTGCTGTAACCTCAACCTTCTGACAACACTTCACAGCAGACATAAAAGTACTGCAGTGCTATTACCTCCCTGACACAGTTCTGAGCTGCGGTAAATACTGGCAGACAAATAAGTCATAATATAGGCCATATTCCTGTAACCACCAAAATTTCTGGAATTAGGTTTCCCTGAACTGCTTTTCAAGTCATTCTCCATGGAAATGGAGGCAGGGCCTCTGAGACTTGGAGCTGGAGGAGGATGATTCAGCAGGTTCTGTGCACAGGTCAGGGAGAGTTGTGGGTGGAGAATCCCCTGTGTCTTTGTGCTGAAGGCTGCTGCGAACATCAGAGCTCCCACACTTGAGTTTTCAAGTCACATCTGAGGACCGCATGGTTGGAGGGACTGTAACATCAGTGGCACAGGCACTGTGTCTTCTGAGGAAGCATCAGAGGATCTTGTAGTTGAAGCATCTGCTTTTTCCATCAGTATAAAATTTGGACTTTACCATTGCTGCCTACATTATAATTACCTTTACAGAAATAATTCCTGCTTTAAATTTATGTTGCAGGTGTTCTTGAGTTTATGAAGAATGAGAATAATTCATTGTGGAGTCTCCCTTTGTTCCTGTGGCGGTGTTTTTGTTTGTCCTTTATTTTTGAGACAGAGTCTCCCTGTGTAGCTCAATATGGCCTGAAAGTCACTGTGTAGTCCACACCTAGCTTCAGATTTATGACAGCCGTGTGGCCTTAGCCTCACTACTGCTGTGATAAGAGGCAAACACCACCATGTCCAGCTCATTCTGTGTTCTATGTTTTGTTTCTTTATATGTCTCTTTCACTACCATACTTCTCATCATGGAAAGGAATTTATGCACTCATTCTATGGATTTTATTTTATAGTTCTGTTCGTAATAGCCACCAGTGTTTGCCTTTTGCTGTGTGAAACTCCAATCTTGCTCTAATCCATATTCCTAAAGTATAATGATTTGTGTCGCTTAATAAATTAGGAGAGACATCATCATGTCTGTACTGCTGGAACTGGGGAGGAGGAAAAAGTGTTAAGGGGCAAGGACCCTGCCTGACCCTTTCCCTTAGACCTTCAAACGACCTTCAGATATGGACTGCATCTGAGAAACACTCATATTAGCTGCAGGTACTAGGAAGACAGGCTGGGGCAGCTCAGCCTCACACTTCTGCTTTACTGGCAGGTTTATGTCATGGCTTGTATCACTGTGGGAGGCCAACTGTAACCCTGTTGACAGTAATAAGTTGCAACATCCTCAGGCTGCAGGCTGCTGATGGTGAGAGTGAAATCTGTCCCATATCCACTGCCGCTGAACCTGGATGGGACCCCAGCCTGCAAACTGCTTGCACCATAGATCAAGAGCCTAGGAGCTTTTCCTGGTTTCCGCTGATACCAATTTAAACTGCTGTAAATGTTCTGACTGGCTCTGCAATTGATGGTGACTGTGTCTCCTACAGAGCCAGCCAGCGAGGACGGAGACTGGGTCACCTGGATGTCACATCGCACACCTGACATGGGAAACATAAACACAAAGACCACACAATCGATCAGGCTTTTAGAAAACTTCTCTGAAGGGCCAGGCAGTATTGACCATACTGAGCTGAGGAAATGCTCAGTGCTGTCCTGCCTCACCTGGGAGCCAGAGCAGCAGGAGCCCCAGGAGCTGAGCGGGGACCCTCATGTCCATGCTGTGTCCTGAGTGGGACTGAGTCCTGCACAGGGTGTGAGCAGATTCATAAATCTTCAGGGCAGAGGGCTGTGAGCTTCGACATGCAAATGAGCAGAGGCTGAGTGGGGCTGCACTAAACTGCAGGGCTGCCTCTTCTCAGTAATTCAGGACAGGCTAAAGGACCCGGCTCCCAGGCAGAGCTATGCTAGATGCAATCTGCTGCAGAGACTGTGCTTCTGATGGGGGCCATGGGCAGAATTCCTGCAAACTGTAATGTGGTGAGCGATGCCCTGCACTCTTCCTGGTTCTGCACATGCATCTGTCCTATTTTTTATTCACAATTCTATGGCAGTGACCCTTGGATTTGGAAGAAACTAAAGAAAACACGAGGGTGAAATATATCATGGCTAAAATATAACAAGAAAAGTGAAGATAATAACACTTTAAAACTCTTTAAAATGGTTCAGATATCTCTAAACATGGATCCCACTTATGTAAAATGCCTTTGTAGGATGCAGGCAGATATGTTCTCAAGCTCTTGGTGCCCTGGGCCCTTAAACACACACAGGTGCAAGATGCTGCCTGTGTTCTTAATGAGATCAAAGACCTTCCACATTTCTTCCTATCAAATATCCTTACAGAATAATTTAGGAGAATTTCAAAGCAAGTACAGGACACTGTATCAGCCAATAAACAGATATTGGGATGTTGGAGAAATTGGAACTGGTGTAGCATTTTGAAGATAGGAGGGAAATTTCAACCTTTTGGTGTTTTTCTGTGTGCCTCTGTCACCACAGAGAATCTTTCTTTTTGGCTCAACACCCGCTGTCCTCATGAGGGCTTCACTGTCTCTTAGCGTCAAGTATTTAAATAAGGATTCCTGGGAGAATTTCAGGCAAAACTCATCACCATCTTGCTTTTTTGGGGAAGCAAAATCCTTCCTGCCACCGCTCCACTTTCCTCTTCCTCTTTACTCTTATTTCACAGCTGATCGCATGTGGCTCCCAGTCCTTGCACCTCCTGTTCTAGAAGAGGCTGATTGTCCCTGCCACGTGTACTGACACAGAGCTGGTGCTCAGAAAACCAAAGAAAGAGTGGATGGTTGTTGTGTTTATATTTAAAAACTATGTACCTTAATTTAATGTTTCTTTTTAAACGTTTATTTGATGGGCTACAGAGATATGAAGGAAACACTTATCTGTCTAGGTTGGAATAAGCATTGCCCTGATGATGAGAAGAACTCAAATTTGTAGTTGTGCAGATACAGGGCTGACTTCCGGAAATGGTGAAAGAAGGTGTATAAAATTGAGGGAGCACAGACCTCTACCTGTGACATTCAGGAAGAGTTAGAAAACACAAAATGCAAAGGACGATGCAATCAGGCTTGCATTGCAGAGAGCTGCAGGCCGGGGAGGAAGCAGCTGCTGTGCTGAGCATGGGGCTGAGGACGAGAGAAGGAAAGTGCTCAACTCCACAGGCTTTGAACCAGGCCAAGAGTAGGAGGCCAGGAGAAGTGTCTGAGAACCCAGGACCTCAGAGTCAGGTCCAGCTCTTCTCAGCGCTGTTCTCCCTGTCCCAACGGATAAAGGACAAGACTGTTATCAGTAAATGTCCCATCTCTGAGTCCTGCCTCATTCAGGCGTTGCTCTGTTTGAAAAGATAAGCAGCCTGGGTAAACGCATACGTACATTATGGGTGTATTATGTTCCCATTATGATACAAGTATTAAAGACATACATGAATAATTTATTACATCAATATCTGATGTGTCTTTTCAACTTCTGGCAATTCAGCCATGAGCACTGATGACCCACAGTGGTTTCATTGCCACCTTTCCTTCCCACTGACAGCCTGGGCATCAGGAAGCAGAGGCCCTGCCCTGATACCTGTGGACCATGCAGACCACTCTGGGAGCAGAACCGGGACACAGATCTGATGTCACATCCGGTTTCCCCTGCTCACTTCCTGCCCCTCCTCCGTGGGACATACCACACTGTCTTCCTCTTTGCTGAATGGAGCTCTCAGTGAGCTCTGTTTTCACCTCCTCTGAAACCACAGGGCCACTTCAGCCTGACCGCACACGGCTGCTGCACCTTCAAGAGGGCACCATTTCTTTTCCAGCACGTGCTTGACCGGTACTGACCCAGGGCTCAGACTCTGCTTTTTAACTCCTTATGGAGGTTTCACGATTACAGGTTGTGTTTACTGAAGATCAGAAAGAAATAGAAACTGTTCAGAAAATGGCGCATGGGGCAGCCATGGCCCCTGTGAACACTCTCTGCAGAAATGTGAACCCTGAGACTGGAGAGAAAGCTTCAAGCTCCTACGGGCTCCCTGTTGATAAGGGAGCAGTGGCTCCTGTGTGCCCCCAGTCTTCATAACATCAAGCCTCTGGGTTTTGTTTATTATGAGGTTTGCTCACTATCTAAGTGGCACGTGTGGGACATAGCAATTTATAGAATTTTCAGTTTGAGGCCCTATTACTTGTCTCATTTTCAGATACAGTTTCATGATTCCCATAACATATCAATCATACCTAGTTCAGACTTCCTTCTTTTTTTTTTTTTTTTTATCGGTACCGGGAATTGAACTCATGACCTCATGCTTGCCAGGCAAGCGCTGTGCCGCTGAGCTAAATCTCCAGCCCCGCTTTACCTCCTTCTTGACCAACAGCTTCCTGTATGACAGTTTTAACAGCGCTTGTCAGGCAACAGTTACTTTGACATTTTAATGAAGACACTGAACTTGGAGGGCAGAGTTGTGTGACTGCGTCTATGGTACATAAAATGTCAACAACAGTCAGGAGATTTGTCCCTGGCTTAGTGCATCAGTTCTATGAATGTGGTGCTCTTGTCAGCATGCATCAGTAATGTTTGCATGGATGGGAAGAAACCTCTGACAGCTGGAATTCAAAGGAGGAGAGTTTTATTTTCCCACAAGGTTTCAGAGGGTTCAGCCCATAACTGACTGGCTCCAAAGAAGTCATGGCATGATGGAAGGGTGTAGAGGAGGAAAGTGTTTCCACTACCACAGCCAAGAGTGAGAGAGAAGGGAAGATTCAGGGACATGAAAACACCTTTCCAGGTCACAAGTCCAGTGATTCAGACCCCAACTTCACAGCACTTGCAGCTATGAACCCTTCAGTGGGTCACTCCCTCATCAGTACAGTGTCCATGGGGCTCGGTGGATTCCAGCTGCCCCAGCACATGGGGGTGTTTTACTTCTAAATCTTAACACATCACAATGTTACCTCATTTAATCAAAATGGATGACAGAATGAACTCTGAATACATACATTGTAAATTGCATAGCAGAAATAATTAGAGGACCTGTTATATTCTTAGGTTCAATAAAGTTTCCAGTTACATTGAAAGCTCAACATGGAAAGCAAACTATTGGTACACCAGCATCATCAAAATTCAGAAACATTTTCTCCTTAATTTTTATTTTTGTTTTATTATTACATATTTGCCACAGACAATTATCAAATTCCTTGTGGAAAGTTGAAAATAAATTTTAAAAACAGAACATTTCTAATCACACTGTGAAGGAAATAAAAACATAAATGCTAAAATGAAAGATGACATTTATAAATCAGTGATCCGGTAGAAATCCAACTCCTGAAAATGGACAAACCTAACATAAGACCTCATAGTATTAAAGAAAACAATCCTTTAAAACTGAGCAACTTGTTGCAACAAAGACATATCAATGTCTGTTCCAAATACAAAAAAGTGATCCTGATTACTACTCATCAGGAAAAGGCAAATTAAATCCATGATGTGCATCATCAATATTCACAAGACAAAACTTATCTTATGCTCTAGGAGAGCTCTAGAGTGAATTGTTAGGATGGAAATCACACAGCGCCTGCTCTCTGACTAGAAAATGATTAAACCAGAAAGCAAACAGAAACCTACCTTAAATTAAAAATACTTAAACAGTAAGGTTAAATTAATAAATTAAAGGCAATATTGGTAAATATTTTCAACTGAGTGATAAGCTACACATTACCAAGTTCTTTGATAGATACTTGAAATAATATTAGAAGAAAATTTTATATCTATGCATATGCATACATACTGTCATATTTCAAAAAGACAAAAATTTAAAATCATTGAGTTTCTGGTACTTTTCTCAGCATTTCCCAGTTTCCTTTGTTCTATTTCTATTGCACATAATGTGAGTATTCAGTCAAAGTCAAAGAGTCAGGTGTCATTGGAATCTGGCATTAAATATTTTAGGAGCCACAGGTTCTGCAAACCCTGTCACACACCTGGAGTCAGCAGCTGGAGTAGACGCACAGCAGGAGAGCAGTGCAGCTCAGGAGCGGGGAGGTCACACGCGCATATCTCTGCGCTGTTACTGCTGCCTCGACAGACCCAAAGATGAGGCTTTAAATGCCAAACTCTCAGTTAAATAACATCATCTGCTTGTGAGAGAGGACGGCTCACGGATCTGTGATTTCACATATACTTTTCTGACTTTCAAAGTAAAGCTAACCTTGGTCATTCCTACATACTGGTCCACATGTTGGAAAAACTTTGAGATAAAAATTGGTAACATTTGTGGAGTGTGGTAAGGGAGTTAAAATGGATACACTCAGAGTTGTATATATCACAATTAGAAGGAGAAGGTCTTTAAATTGAGGACTATATCATTGAGATGAACCAAAAAAAGGATACAAACCTTCACAGAGCAAAAAGAATCAATCCATCGATTGTAATGAAACAAATGAATTAGATAGAAAACAAATTCCCGGAACACAAGGCCAGATGGACAGTGAGGAATCTGCACCCACTTTATGTGCGGTTCTCATGTCTGTCTCCTGCTGTCCCC